GCTGAAGTTCTGCCGGGGCGTTTTCGACTTGATATCCAGATGCTGACAATTTTTTATTGTACCTAGACACTTATATGGAAAACATATTTTCTCGTATAGATGGTGAAGAATTCTTGAATATCATACGTTTTTCGATATTAAACCCCTGCTTCTCTTCAGGAAACTTCCAATAATAAAACGCAATTGTTTATTAACCTTTTTTAATAGTAAGTATATTCCCAAAAAAAAGAAATAAAAAATCTGAACGCAAGATTCCAGCACCAAAAGCTACACCGACAGCAGCAGCAGCAGCAGCAGCAGCATCCTCACCAATATCAGAGTCATCAACAGGTATGCTATCTGTGGGTACTCGCATCAACTGTAAACGCTAAAAATATAATCAACTCATAAATGTATAATAATTTATATGTAAAATCGTGCCGCTTAAAAAAGCACAATAACAATGAAACAAAGGCATGCTAACGAGCGCTGACATGCCGACGCGAAAGTGCAAAATATGTCTACATATGTACATACAGACGTACAGCAGAACAAGTGTAAGAAAGAGTCACGAAATGTCAAAATGTGGAATGCTGCCGAAATGTACCAGAAAATGAAAAAAAACCGAAAAACGCACAAAAACAAATCAAGCCTGAAAAAGAAAAAAACATACAGCAAAGGCGCGATAAACAACGAATAAATAAAATTAAAAAAAAAACACTAAACATCCGCAAATGCCGCATCGACGCTGTTGTACGAGATTATAGTGGTGGTATATAGGTGGTAGTGCTTCTGATGTTAGGTGGTGTTGGCGATACCCTGCAGAAAATAATTATTAATAACTTGTTAGTTTTTTTCGCGGGAATTATTTTTTGTATTGAAACATTTTGGTCCAACATTTTTACCAAGAGTTCACGTTCATGATTTTTAGTGACGCATTTGTCTTCTAATATTACGGTTTGGTGGTAGTCAGAAGGCATATTTCCATTGCCGTCTTAAATAACCCAGCAAAAGTGTATATGCATACAAAGATACGTAATAGCTTCAGTGCGGTATGCAGTATGAAAATGTATGGGAGGCGCCACACCCCTTTTGCCAATAGCCCATACCAATTTTTCTTCATGACCTTGTGATTATGAAATATCTATACCAAGTTGCAGTACTCTACCATGAACACTTCCAGAGATATGCAGTATGGAAACTACGTTTTGTATGGGAGGTTCCACGCCCCCTTTTCCAATAACCCTAATTTTTCTCCATGTGTATGCGACTGTTTTCATATATCTTCATACCATGTCCGAGTACTTTACCGTGAACACTTTCAGAGATATGCAGTGTGAAAAATTTGGGTTGTATGGGAGGTGCCACGCCCCCTGGACCTAGCGGTATGAAATATACTTTACATCCGATTTTCATACCTACCATATATGCGAAAAAATTTTTATAAAAATCGGTCGAGCCGTTTAGGAGGTGTTTGACCACAAACACGGTGACACGAGATTTTTATACATTAGATGTAACTTGTAATTAGCTACAAAGAGATAACTTGACACTAGTTAATAAGTAATACAGACGTAATCGGGAGATTGTTTTCCCTTTTTTTAATTTTTTTTTTTGTCAATAAATTTTATATTATCATTTTGAAGTTATGTACGACGCAGTTCGAATATGGGACCACTCACAGCAGAATATGTAAACAAATGTGAAATGTAGTAAAATCAAGAAAATAAATAGAAAGGTAAAAAAAAATATATTTTTCTTGACTACCCTTACTATTTCAGAGAAAATATACGGATAACAGTGACCTTTAGTCAACTTCAAGTTAACATATAGTTAGATGCATTTCCCGCAGGGTAAATGACGGCGGCGTTGTTGTTGTTATCGCCGTCGTCGCCGCCGCTGTGGTCGTCGGTGTCGTTAATGGTCTCGACTCGAGAACAATCTAGAAGAGGCGCCAGCGCAGCAACAAACGCTGTTAGTTGCATACATATACAGATGCAAAAATAAGTAGTGTAGGTGCTAGGAATGTGATAGGATCCCGGCCTTTTTAAAGTCCCAAAAATCTCGGGATTCTTGCTAATTTGCACTGATGCCAATAATAGAATCTCATTTTCTTGACCAATATTGGCTATATTTCTTTTTTTATTTAATAATTCATGTTTTTTAGAAATGTCTAGCTGTGATTTTTGAACCAAATATCAATATATTCGCGAAACCATTGGCCAAATATAGTAAAATTGAGTTTTTAGTTTTTCACGCTGACGTCAGTAATTCAAAAATGATTTAAAAATTCAAAGAAATATGCTTAGAGAAGAAGTATGGGTATAAAATTGAAGGGGAAACCCGAATTTACACAGATTCAAGTTTTTGCTGCAGAAGGACTGGTACATATTGAAAATGTCATTTTAATATTTTATCTTTGAAATATCGCAGTATTTGTTTTTGAAAAACATATATTTTGAGTACTTATATAAACTCGATAACATCCTCGAATTTCGGCCTTCTAACTTTATCAGCTTAAAAAATTACCTATTCGTCCTGTAAATCCAAAAATTTTTTTTTTTTTGAATTCTAAAGAAATTTCCTGTTGCATTTTTATTCTACATTGCATAGAATTTTTTAAATAATTTTTGGAATACATCATATCTTTGAAATTACAAAGTCCTTTAAAATAAATCCTGACAGCAGAGAGAAAAAATAAAAACGCCACTTTAACTGGCCTATCATCAATTCCGTCGGAGATCCCGACGTTGTCACGTCTAAATTACTATCATGAATCCCGTCGTGATTTCGAAATACTCCCGCAAATTCGAAATTCGTGAGATTGGGGTATCACTGATTTCGAGTTATTTTATTTTGATTTAGAATTATTAAACCAAAAATTAAAACAAACAAAAACCAAAGGCAGCACTAACTACGAATACGTCGGAATTGCTGATAGCATTTCGTAACGGGAGATTTTTCCACGACGGGAATTCAGACGGGGGAAGTAGAGATTATCGGGATGTCGTTGGTACTATCCCGGGATCCCGGGATTTAAATATTTATTATTTTTCAACTATGTACTTAAATCGAAAAAATTGCCTCAATATGATTTGAGAAGTTCTCCTATCATATAATAAATAATAAGTAAATGCGCTTGGAACGTATTTGTATATTTAAAGTGAAAATTATTTCATAAGTAACATAACGAAAGACAGTAATTAAATCTATATGCATTTAATAATACTTTAGCATGTATGTACATATATGATAAAATAACGTAAAAAAAATTAAGTCAACAAATTTATTTTCTGGTTGAAAAAAGTTGATAATACTAGTGGCAGAAATAAAAATGCGCCTTATTTCGACCAGTTTTATCTATATTCCTTTTGTTTGTTCATTATTTAAATTTTTTTATAAAAATCTACTTCTTATTACATATAATTAAATGCATATAAATGGGCATTTCTCTGACGTCATGATATTTAAAAAGACTATAATTTTAAAGACATGATTAGTTTCAAAACTTTTTGTAAAAAATTCAGTGCAATGTAAAACAAAAATATGGATAACAAACAAATTTTTTCTTTCAAATTCTGTAGAATTTTTTGGGTTCACAAGGACGAATATTTTAATCTAATAAAGTTAGTCCTTAACATATATGTATATATTTTTTTTAAATAAGAAATGTAAAATTTCAAGGGTATTCACGGATAAAATTATAAAAGGGCATTTTTAATACCTACTCACTCGTCCCTTACGCACCAAAAAAATGTAATCTGTTTTAACTTTACAGAATCTCTTTAATTTGATACCCACACTTGGTTTTTAAGTACATACATACATTGCACCGAATTTTTTAACTCATTTTTTGAATTACTCATATCTTTCAAATTTCAAGGTTCTTTTAAAAAATTCTGACGTCAGAGAAAAAAATTAAGAACGAAATTTTACTCTATTTATTTTATTTATACAAAAGGAAATATGTATAGCCAAAACTGGTCAACATAAGGCGTTTCTATTATTGCCACCAGTGGAAATTATAAATCCCGAAAGTCCCGGGATTCTGCGCAAATAATCCCGGGATTTTTGGGACTTAAAAGGACCGGGATCCCGGGAACCCGGGACTAACATCCCTAGTACCTACATATGTATGTGTATACAATTAGAGCGTTAATATATTTACACATATGGCGGTGTCTAGTAAAACACGCCGTGCACGCAAAGCATAGAAACTCACGCACACACACTCACATGCACATCATTGTAGCGTCTCCACATTTTCTGTATTACTTGCCTCACAACAACTGCTCCCAGCAGCAGCACCACCATCTTTACCACCACCACCACTCTACTCCCGTTTGCTTGCCACCTTTTTAGTGTGACGTCAGCGAGCGCCTTTCGTAGTCATCGCCGCCTGCATTTGAACCCCTCCCCCCTATCACCAACCCGCTTCCATGTACATATGAATATTCAACAGCTCGCATGCCAGCGCCCTACCTAATATTTAGTTCGATTATTACGCTCACTCGCTTATTCATTGCGAAAATCGAAAGAACTTGAATGCGCTCAAAAGCTCTGGCGTTGACGAGTGGGCGATTTAACGACTGTTAAGGCTGTTGAGAGTGATAAACGAGAGCGTCGCACTTAAGTGTGTGAGTGGGTAAGTGCGCTTAGTGGAGCAGCGTGGCGTATGAGTGCTTGAGCACCAGAGCGTATGAGTTACACAAAAAGTACAATGAGCACGCACTCAAGCATTGAGTAAAAAACTCATCTTTATTACAATTCAATGAGTCAAATGTGTGTTTGCTAGTGTATCCTATATGGAGGTGAGGTAGTCTAACTTCTCTACGCTGGTGTTGTAATGCATGCAAATCTCCGCTTTAATCGAAAACTAGTCGTAGACTTAATAACAAGCGCTCACTCAACCAATGTACCCTCTCTCCCGCTACTTTGAGCTTCAACTCAAGCTTATTCGCGCGCTCACTTGCTCACGCGCGCATTCACTCATTTCGTTGGTAGTGTAGCCTAGCAATAGGTGTACATTCCCCAACAGTGCAACATTATTAGCAGTACGATTTCGAACTCGCTCGGCGTAAGACATTGACTGCTCCCGTAGACGCGGTCGTACACTAAGTGCCAAGTTGCCACAAAACGTTAACGTCAGCATTATAACTAGTGTGTCTTTTTTTGCCTGACGGTCCAACTGCGTATTTCGCATAAGCTAATAAATAGGTTCTCGGCGGTGCTGCAACGCACGCACGTCATCATTATCATTTAACAAATAACATCAAATCGCAACGTTTGCTCGGTTGTCGTAGTCGTAGCCGTAGTATTTGTGGTCGCCATCGTCGTCTTCGTCATTTTCGTCGCCAACGCAGTCAAGTGTGTTGTTTCTCCACCACCTTCATTATATCGACGACTTGAAAAGCTATTGGGGAAAAGTGAAAAAGCAAAGGAAAACTTTGCGAACAAATTACAATTAGAAAAAAATTCAAAGGTGTACCCAAAGTGGGCGCGTGCAAATAGACGCGAAAGAAAAACATACGGGGCGTAGTACGTGCAAACTAAATAAGGTAGTGAAAGAAATTATTCATTACGAAGAAAACGAAAAGTTTACTTTAGAAAAAAGATAACAAAACTAAAAAAAAAAAACATACAGCTATTATATAGCCAGTTAGCCAGTGGTTAGTAACCAGGCAAACGGTACAGAAGGTGCACGAGTACGATAAAAAAGAAGAAAAATTTTGCTAATTTAATAGCCACCCAAAAACGAAGCGAAGCCAGCACACATTTGATGATGAAATATTGAGGAATCAAAAAAAAAAAAAAAAGAAATAAAATAATTTCAAATTCGCAACAGCCAACCAACAATAAACGCCACACAGCGCAAAACGAAAGAACGCGAACATACTCAAACGAATTTATTGCAAAAGCGGCACAATTTCACGATTTCGCGAAAATTGTGTGTGCAATAAAATTAAGTTTGTAGAAAAGAAAGGCAAAAAAAAAATAGACCTTAATTGAATAAAATAAACAAACCAATTAAATAAAATTAAAAATTTAATAGCTGTCAAGCGGCAGAAGAAGAGAATATCGAGAAGTAAAAGGCTGCAGCAAAATTATTTGCGATTTCAGTGGACAGCTGGCACATTCCAATACAAACGTACATACATATAAACGCGTACACGGTATCTACTTATTAGTGTACTACTTACACTTGAAAGCGAAAATTTCAAGGCGAAAATCTAAGTGCGCTCGTCGCAAATAGAAACTAATTCGCACATTTTTGCTTTTACTTCTGTGTGTGAATCAGAGTGTTTGTGTGCGTTGTTTACGATCTCTGCGAGTAATTGAAAAAAAAAACAACTAAAAACCAAAAAACTAAAAAAAACGAAATTCTCGTTTTACTAAAAATATAACTCTAACCCAAAAACAGCACCAAAAGTTGTGTGTGTGTGTGTGGAACGTGTAGAGTGTATCAATCCGGAGTAATCTTACGGCAATTTGTGCAGATTCCTGCGATTATTTGGTAGGTGATTCATGCAATGCAAGAAATTTTGAAACCAAAAAGAGTATAGTAAAAAAAAAATATAAATATTTCTAAGTATGTATAAATGTTTGAATAAGAATAAAAGCGATAATAACGGGGTGACTAATGCAGCGCTACGATGTGCATTAATTTGGAGATGTGCAAAAATTGGGGCAGCACACATTCTATATGCGAAGTTTCGTAAATTAATTGAATGAAATTATTTGGCAAGGAGTAGAAAAAATGTGAGCGCTTTTTTGTCATTTTATTGTTTTGACTGCAAAAAGGCTATTAAATTGAAAAAAGGTAGAAAATTAAGGGTAAATAAATTACAAAATAAAATAAAATGTAAAATATACAGTAAAAATTTAAAATAAGAAACTAAAATAAAATGCAAAGTAGGATTAAATTAAATAAAAAAAATTAAAATGAATAAAAAAAAATAAATAAAATGAAAAATATAATAAAATCAGTAAAGCAAAAAAACTTAAATAAGAAAATAAAATAAAATGGAAAATACAATCAAATGAATAATTGAAAATAAAAAGCAAATAATTTGTAACGAAAAACAAAATACAAAAGAAATGAAATGGAAAGTGAAATTAAGTAAAAGAAAAATAAAAATTAAATGAAAAATATAATAAAACAAATAATTGAAATACGTAAAGTTAAAAATTTCAAATAATAAAATTAAATAAAAGGAAAAATAAAATATATTGAAATAAAACAAAATAAATTAAATTAAAATAACATAAAATAAAAAGAAATAAATATAAAATTGGCACTATAATAAAATTAAAAATATAAGTAAAAGGTAGAGATAAATATATCAAATAAAAAATAACAAGTAATTTTGAAGCAAAAAACAAACCCGATTTCAATTCCCATATAAAAATTTAAGATTATCGTTGATTTCTTCATGATCCGGTGATCGTATTTGACCCAAATTACTATGGGACCACCTGTGAGGTAACGCCTTTTCTTTAACAAAAAAGAATTATAGAAATCGGTTACCGTGGTCCAAAGTTATTCGGTAACATACGTAAAAAAAATAAAAAAATAAATTAAATATTTCGACGAAGTAATAACCTGCTCCTTTTTGTGAGGTCGGTTAAAAATACAATAAAACAAAATAAAAAATAAAAAAAAATTAATAAAATATTTAAATTTGTCGAGCTTTGTACCACGATTTTTGTTTTTATAAAAGAACACTAAGTATATAAGAAGAACATAAAGTTGACAGAATTAAAAAAAAATAATAATTACATTAGAGGTAAGTAAAAAATTAAACTAAAACAAAATATAAAATCCTCGATACCGTTTCAAAATCGCCCATTGTCCAGTTGGATGACCGCTTAAATCGGCATAGTGGCAAAACTGAAATTTGTAAAATTATAGATCGTCGATGCTTTTGCAAAACCGTCCATCGTCCGATTGCAAAACCGCCTATCTTATGGCACTCAAATTTTACAGGAGATCGAAAGAACTGTTTTTCTTTGAAGGCATTGCTTTGATTTAGGCTTCGATTTAGGCGGTCGATGTGCGGTTTTGCAAAAAACATCGACGAGATACATACATACGTATGTGAATGAAATACGGACTATCAAGTCAACGATCGCAGAGAAAATAAGTTCTTTTGCTTGCCTGTAAAATTTTGAATGCCGTTAGATAGGCTGTTTTGCAAAGACGTTAACAAAATGAAATTAAAATGGTGTAAGAGTTAAATAAAATAAAATGAAAAAAAAAATAACAAAATAAAGTTTATGTTCACTTGTTCTTAATTTAATGCCTGCGTCTACATAAAAATATTTGGTAACTTTTTGGAAAGGAAAAATCTTTTTTCAATATTTCGGCATAAAAGTTGTTCAAATTTAAATATTAGTGTTTGGTAGAAAGATATCGAAATATTTATATTGATAAAATATTTGCATTATATTTCGCTTTAAGTTGTCAATGAAATGAAACGTATAACTCGAAAGCATTTCTGTGGACTTTTGCAAAAGAACTTATTTATGTATGTAATTTCAAAAGTTTGGTTCTAGATGAAAACACATGAACAAAAATACAGAATTTTGCTGAGCGCCTATTAAAATGAATTTTTTGTTGGATCAACGGTTTTGGGGAAAGTAAAAGTAACAATGACTAGTAAAAATATGTTAGAGTTAATGAATTCGAAGTGAACATACTAAAAATGCAAGAAACAATTTCCAAAAAAATAAATTGCTGTAATTCCCGCAATGAAATTGCTAGAAAAAATATTGAGATTAATCAGCTCTTTGACCTATTAAAAAAAATTATAAAAATTATATGTACATATATAAATGAAAATTATTAGCGAAGTTCTAATATTTTTGGAATATTTTGGCAAAACTTATAACTTAAAAAAATTTTATTTAACTCTTACATAAATATGCGGTTTTGCATGATTGTTGATACGCGGTTTTGTATTTTAAACGACGATATGTAAAACGAACGCTCACCTACTGTTGGATTTTCTAATAATAATTTTATTTTAAATCAATTAATTTTTGATTTTTTCTTGAAAATCTATGGAGGTGGGAGATATAGATAGATGTTTTTTTTTTAATAAAACAGAAAACTGTTTTTGCAGCTGTCCTAAACAATGAAATTGAAATTAAAAAAATAAATGCAACATGCAATAATAGCACCAAAAACAACAACAACAACAACAACTATTTAACCATACACCAGTAATTAATAGTTAGCCGCAATTATTAATTGAAAGAAATCAACTTGTGAAATCCGAGACGGTGACTACTCACTATCTCTTCGCAGCTATGTACATATGTATGTATATGTATTATCTTGTATATTGGCATGTCTACATGTATTATGTACATACAAACAAATGATATTTACCGTCATACCTATGTATGTATGTAGCTGCCGCTGCCGTGTATCTACAGCACGCACACATGTTAACTCGACGTTCATTGTTTTTTATGACCAGAATTATTGCGCGTGTTGTTGTTTCTTTTTTTTTGCATTTTTGTTGTTTGCCTTTTTTAATTTGTATTTTTTAATACATATACTACTTAGTTCATATGTAGCATTAAGCACAGATAGCAACCATCCACAAGTACGACTGCATACATATGTATATGTTTTTTATTGTTGTTTTCTGTACATATTTTTTCTACATATAAAATTAATTCGCATAACTTAACAAAGTTGTTATTGCAGCTGCTGCTGCTGCTGCTGCTGCTGCTTTTGCTGTTGAGCTGCACTGAGCTCAGCTTGTATGAGTTGAGCTGGGCTGCGCTGCGTTGGTCAGCGAGCAAAAATAAAAATTCAAGATACTTTAATAGGTGTGATGGTGAATTTTAATATACATACATACATACATACATACATATATACTGCATGCATATGCACTTATGTATTTACATATATGTACCTATATATGTATTTATATTTGCTTGAGTTTGTTTTTGGGTTTTGCCCGTGTAAGCGATGACGTTCAACTCTGTTTACTGTTTACGTGCATTTTAGTCCGTATGCTACATATATGTACATATATGTATGTGTGTACAATGGCTGCAGAAATAATAGACTCGTCTTTCTTTGAACAGTTTTGGCTATATTTCTTTAGTTTATTTTATGTTTAATATTTTTTTTTTTTATAAAAGCCTAGGTAGTTATACAACAAACACCATATAAGTCCACTTCTCAAACTGTGTACAAAAATAATAAAAACTCGATAAATTTTCACCACATTTTCAAACATTTTATTCAAAATTAAAAAAAAAAAAAAAATATATCGTATGCAGTTTTTTAGCCCAGTCAATTTTAACATAATAAAGTGCAAGTTTCAGTTGGCTTCAAAATACCGTTGAATTTTTTTTTGTTGACGATGTCACGCATTTTTTTTCCCCCTATACAAAGTGTGCTCGAAAATTTTTTTATATGCAAGAGCATGCCTAGCATCGTCAACAAAAAAAAATTTTTAAAATCAACGGTATTTTCTAGCCACTTGAAAGTTGCGCTTCATTATACTAACAGCGCGATTCCGTGCATTTGATAAATTGAAAATCTATAATTTGTAAATTTTTTATTATCATAAAAGCTCTTTTCTTGATAAATTATCAAGATTGAAAATGCTATTGACAAATTGAAATTTCATGTGTGTATTTGAACCTGCGACACATGGAATTATAGTCGACATCTTTACCTACTCGGCTACGGCAGTCAAAATCTTTTTTGCTTTTAAATTCGTATTTTTCATAAATGGCAATGAAATCAGTTCCACTCATGTGGAAATTAGTTCCACTCATGTGGAAATCGTAGAGCTTTTTGTTTTATAAATATTGATACAGAATGCGAAGGGAGATTTTACTTGATAAAAATCTTGATAAAATTTCTTTACAAAACATTTATCAAGAAAACACAGATTTGGGCGGTAAAATTGAATGAGCTGTGAAACTGCATACCAAAAATTTTTCTAAAAATTCCGAATAAAAAGTTTGAACATTCGATGAAAATATGTCGAATTTTTATAATTTTTGTAATTGAATTTTTATATGTTTGAAAAGCAAATTTATATGGTGTTTGTTGTATAACTACCCAGGTTTTTCTAAAAAAAAAAAAATCTTAAACATAAAATAAGCCACAGAAATATAGCCGAAACTCCTCAAAGTAAGACGGGTGTATTACTTCTGCCGCCAGTGTATGTATGTACGTTAGTGTGCGTAAGCTCAACGCCGTGCATGAAATAAAAACGAAAAAAATGAAAATCTAATAAAATTACGAAAAAGACGCTTTAATTAAGTAGCAACCACAACAACAACAACAACGAAAGTTGTTTACTTGCACTGTTTGGTTCAATCATTTACCCTGTATTTGCGTTGAAATGAAGCTAACTTTTTGTTTGCTTGCTTGCCTGTTTATAGCGAACTTGTTCGCTAAGTTCAAGTAAAAATGTATATTTTATCTATCAGCTAAAAAAAAAAATCATGTTTTTTTTGCACATTGTTGGCAAA